GAATTGTTTATGCCGATAAATCCTGAGAGGATTATCCCAACAGCTAACTGATGGGTCATTATTAAAATGTCTGTTTTTATTGTGCAGAAGAAAACAGACTGTCCTCTGTGGACACCACTGATGTCACCCAGCGGTGACAACCATATTGAGGCTGTTGTGGTCTGATTAACTTGTCAGGAGACTTACTTGAGGAAAAAAAACTCCACCAGCAAAACTTTTTTATTGGGACTTTCCGGAAGAATGTGGAAGCATTTTGGGTCCAACCCACTGGAATGTCCTCCTCATAGTCAGGCAAAGTGTTAGAGACCAGCCTAGCTTTGGATCAGTATATATGTTTTTAGCATCTGTACTATAGGTGTATATAAGAAAAGAAGTGTTAATCTGAACCTGAGATGGATACTTTTATCCAAAGTGCCGTCCCGGACCATCAGATCAAACATTCATTGTAACAACGGAGCCAGTGGAGATGTGACCTTTAACCTTAAAGTGTTGGCACCTTTGATCTACACAGAACAAATGGATATCGGGTGGTAGTATGTGTGAGTTTAAATTATACAGAGACCAACAGCCAAGTTTTAAGAGCTCTGTGCTGCTCAATGGTACTGAAAGTAAAACGTCCCATTTCCAATGCCTTCACCAAGCCATTTATTCACCAAGCATGTTTTCAGGTGACTACAACTCCAAGCTGGAATTCCTACTGGGTAGAAAAAAAGCCCATCACCCACCTGATACAGACTTTTCTGATGGGTCTAGGCAGCAAGATGCATCTGGAACCAGTCAGTCTGAAAGTCTGGACCACCCCTCCCCCTTATAAATGTGTGAGTGGAGGGCAATAAGGGAGGTAAAGGAGGGCAGACACAGAGACATACACACACTCAGCACTCAACAATAGGTCGCCATGAAAGTTTGGTCCTGACATCTTGTCCCTCTCACTATGAATTGTAGCCTGTTTCTGTGTTTAGTGCTAGTTAGCAATGCTAACACACTAAACAAATATGGTGAACATTAAACCTGCTTAAAATCTACAAGTAAGCATTGTCATTGTGACTATGTTAGCATGCTGATGTTAGCATTTACTCAAAGCCGGCTGTGCCAAAGTACAGCCTCGCAGAGCTGTTAGCATGGCTATATAGTCCCGTTTTATACTATTTCCATTTATTTAACTGGAACATGGGTAAGTTAACTCTTCGGAGATAAAAAGTGTTTCATTAATACTTTTCAAATGTTTCAAAAAAGCACAACATAGCTCAACAGTGGCCACGTTTTCATCAGTTTCAAATCCCCTTTGCCTCTGTATACTTGTTGTTGTCATCTATTAATTACACTATTAGCTGACATGTCAAACACAGACTGGATTTAGGCCCACAAGTTATACTAACTACATCTGTATACTGTGTACTGTTTATTCTCTGAGGGCTTTGATTCAGAATGAAGAAGGATGTTCAAGTTAAGAAGACAAATGATTCATCATTTCCCGAGAGACGTGGTTCTCTGCACACATGTGTCACTTTATAAAAGCTTATAAATAAGTAAATGTCTGCTTTCCTGGTGCGGTTTGACATTTGCCTCACAAAGTGACAGGTAAGCATGTTACAGAAGTTTCTTATTTCAAGGTAAAACACCAGGCCTTCCTTGAAATGAATCAGTCTGAAATGTAAAAACAATAAATCTTTGGTTGATCTTCACAACTCCCCGCTAGACTGCCCTATAACTCAGCTTCACAGGTAAATATTTCTTCATTACGGGGTCAAATCTAAGAAAGTTGGGGAACCACTGTAGTAAGGAAGTATGTGTATGATCTCATGTGTTTCTACATAAAACAGAATGAGAAAAACACTTACCATGATCTCTCTGGAAAGGTCAGAATAAGTCTTTTCCATGATTATAGATTGCTCATATCAGCAATTCAGTGAAAGGACACTAATTATTAAGACTTGCAATACCAGGATTCCTCTCCCAAACTAACTCAATGGAGCCACAAATCTGGTTTGAATGTTGGCTTTTGGCCCTGCTGTGACGCTGGCCCCTGCAGCAGGAGCAGGAGGAGGAGGGATTACCCAACCCACCATGTGTGTTGATTCGACCATCTGTTGCCTTTGTTTCCCTCAGATGCTCGGGGAGGAGGCCGCTGTAATCCTCTGCACCGTGGAGGTCAAGTCCATGTCACTCAAGTCAGTCCAGGAGTGAGACAACAATCCTGTCTGGTCATCCATAAAAGTGAAAGCGAAGACAAATTCTTAATTACCTTAATATACCTTTGCAATGCTGTACATACAGACAGAATACTTCAGGGAAGCATATACAAATGACTGGGAAATTAGAGATTTAAAACTTGGAAGCTTGACATGTTTGAAAAAGTCATGTGGGATTAATGTCTGCAGTCAAACTTTTGATGCAGACAGCTGTACAGCTACTGGGACCAGAGCACATTTGCTGCTGGGCTCTGGAGCTCTGACTGATTTTTCATTAAGGAAACAAATGAGGACTCCGGGTACTTCGTGTCCTCTGAGGTATCCTGTCAAGAGGCTGGAGGTGCAGTTTTCCTCCCCAGACTATGCAGACATGAAACTGCTCCTTCCCTTCACTCAGCATCTTGTTTTTTGTGTTTTTTCTTTTCTTTTATAGACATCTGCTGGCACTTTGGTCCATAACGTTTTTACCATGTGCCCTTGCAGCAGCACTGCAGACCTGAAAGAAGTCCACGCTTTCCCCTTTAGACAGAAGTGAGCTGCTGTGGAAGTTCAGGGCATGAAAAGAAATTAAGAATGTGCTAAGTAATGTAAATGTGACTTGGAACATGACACTCAAGCAAGACCGGACCAGTAGCAACAGGTACATTACAGTGTTATAAATGAAACACCGCTCAGCCTCCTGACATTTAAATTTTTTTTAATGATACAACTTCCATTTTCACACCACCCTGGAGCCGTTTCAATAACTGTTCCCTTCTGCAGGAAAAGAGGTAGTTAGCTCATCCAGGCTTCAGCTGTGTCTGATGGAAAAAGCCTAAAAGAAGGCAAAGTTGACCAGTTTTCATCTCCCCCACTTCCTCGCACACAGAAATTGAGTTGCTGTGGAGAAGTGCACTGTTAGCATTACTTTGGCAATACCTCAAGGTTTTGGAACTTTTTCCGAGGTGTCATTTTACTGCCACTGAGGCTTTCTTGCTCCACTAATACGCTGTGGTGTACATCATAGAAGTGTGTGGCAGACAAACTTAATTAGTCTGAAAATACACTCTAAATTTGCTTTCACCATCCTAATTAGTGCGGTGATTTATGCTTCACATTTAGATTTTCATTCCTCTGTCAGTCTTTCGTTTCTGAGGGGAACTTGATGATGTCTCCTCTTGGCACATATCATGAAGGTGACATCATCCCGCCCCTCCAGTTGCATACCAAAACCTGAGACAGCCTGAAACATTACCATCGGACTCAGGCATTGGGTTCAAACAGAAACATCTGGACTTTTTAAAAGATTGCAAGTCATCAAGTGCATCTGTAACGTACACTTTGTTCTTTACAGACTGTGGAGCAGCTGTGATCCTTTAGCATCACTATATGTCAACCCAAAGGAACTCTTAATATAAAGGTACAAGATAATATTGTTAAGACACCTGTTGTTTGGTTAAAAACAGAAGAGGGAGTTAATATTCATGAGGTCTATGCCAACACCTAATTCACTTTAACAACAGAGCTGTTGATTTGAGCCATCCAAATGAAATGTTTGCTTCCGAAACATGTGGAACGCATTAAAGCGAAAAGCCTAGGCTTCACTTTAACATATTGTACTAGGCTATAGTTTGGCATTCATCAGCTGTCTCTCAGCAGGAGAGCTGCACATGTATCAGGAAACTTTTAATAAAATTTTAGTTGGCTAAAAGTTTATATCAGAATGGGTGACAAGACTTTCTATACTGCAACTGTTCCTTGCAAAGTTTTCCTCCAGATCAATGCAGCTAAAGAAGTTTAAATAACTATACTTAAACAAGAATAAATATAATACAAATAATAAGGTAAAGCTTCTGCAGCCATGCTATCGGCTCTGTGAGGGTGTACTTAGGCACACCAGTGCTTTGAGTTAAAGTTAACTGGGGGAATTAAAGGGAACATTGGTTTTGCAAAACTGAAAAATGAAAGGGTCATACGAGTTAGTAGAACAAATCCTCTGGGTCCTAGAGTCCAGAGAGGGACCTTAAATATTTATATTTATTTAATCCATCCAGTAATTACATACTTAGATACTGTCAACCTCTATGGTAGCACTGGAGGAAAAGTCACAGGGTCACAAACCTCAGTAGGCTTCATCTTGTGAGGGACATTAATGTCTGTACAAAATGTCACAGTAATCTATCCAATAGTTGTTGAGGTATTTCAGTCGGGACTAATTATCCAACAGCCCAAAACCAGCCACAGAGTTTCCATGGCTAAAAACACAGTAAAATGTGTTTTCTGGTCAAAACATAAAGATAATAGACCTAACAGATACCTACTCCAACCAAAACCTAGTATTTGAAAAAATCAGCTTTATTCAGACTTCTGGCAAGATGTGCACATATTTCTTTGTGTCTAATTTATTTTGTTAGAACATTACTGTGTCAGAGTGTTTAAATGTTTAAATGTGGATAACAGCTCCTGGCTGTCCTTGTTTTAGTTATATTCAGGACAAACTGTTTGTATGTGTCATCACATCCTGTTCGCAAATGTTGTCACGTACTGAGCATGGATAGGAAAAACTGTAAGAATATGACAACAGCAGCCTACTTTGACTGAAAACAAAGTAAACGGATGCTTGTTTTTCATAAGTGTTTCCTTGGTACTGTTTTTTCACAGTAAGATAAAAAGTTCTAAATATAAAACAGAATACTTAAAACATCAGGATATAATGTGTGCATGGAAATCAATTCAAAATGCTGCTTTAGTATCAAATGGTACTTCAGATGATTACTGACTGATATTACAGTTATACAAATATGCAAAGAAGAGAAAGACAGTCAACGATCACCATCATTACTTTTATTAAGATTTTTAGGTCCCCTTGAATCAAGTGACAAATTACTTACTGAAAACCTCCATCTGTTATTTCAGAGACTGAAACTAAAGAGCGCTCTTGCAGCTCACCAGGTCACACATCCATGTTAAGAAACAGCTACTTGTGTGAAATGTCTGGCATTTAACTCATTATGCAGCTTTGGAACATGAGACGAAAGTGTCACCATGAAACCTGATTGGGGCTGCAAGCACTTCTTCCAATGGTTTTTCACTCTTTCTTTTGCACCTTGCATGTCTTTCTTTTGCCCAAAATCTGTCTTTGCCTTTGGTGTCCTTTATACTTTCTTTGTGGAATGTTTTTTTACTTTTTCCAAATGCTCTCTTCACATTTTCCTCAGAGTAGAACAGATTCAATTACAAAACCAGAGAGCACATTCAATTTCACTACAACCAAACAGAAAAAAAAAAGGGAGCCCAGTAGAAAATGTATGACTTCTTTGGTCTTGAAGAAACTGTGATGAGTGCAAATGACAGAATTTAAAAAAAAAGCAATAGTATGAAAAGCAAAGGTTTGTTAAAAAAAAACAAAAAAACAACATAAACAACACCACATGTAGACAGCAGAGAGTTAAAGGCTGCAGATGTGGACAGTACTGATACAACACTCATATCTGAGTCACACACAAACACACACACACACACACACACATACCATATGTTTACTGAAACCTGCACTCTGAGTCAGCACTTTTTTGTTGAGAGAACCATAATAAGGCTCTAACTTCAAATTCTGAAACTCACAAACACCAGTCAGAGACGTCACAAAATGATTTTTCATTTCACATTTCGATCCAAAACCCAAACACACCACTGAGAGACCTAACCCTCTTCCATCAAAATCAGAAGAATCAGTGTCTCACAGCTGACAAATGAACACTGGGAACTGCTTGAGGAGAAGCGCGTCAAGCTCACAAAAACATTCCCTACACGTCTTGAGGTAATGCTTACAATTGCAACGCAGACTCCACGTAAACCCAAGGTTAACACAACGCTAAAGATAGTCTCGTCAAACCGCAAGTTGCCATGAAACTTTTTTCTCGTTAAACAGGATGAGTAATGTTACTGCAACAGCTTCTACTTAGTGACAAACACTCACTCAAATAGTGGAGAGTGGGACCCGAATCCTCATGGTCACGCGAATCTCGCTGAGTGTGGAAAAACTAAATGTACAAAATGACACTATGGAATAAGAGCACAAGGTATATGTAGTATTATTATTAAAGGAAAAGTTAAAGAAGACTGATACGTCTCTCATGTCTGCAGGATTCATTTAAAGCTTTAGCTGACAGCTGGTTAGCTTAGCATATTAGGGGGAAACAGCTAGCTTGGCTCCCTTTAAAGGTTACAAAATCTGCTTACCAGCACCAAGTGTAAGTTGTGGTTTTACAGGGGTTTATGTGCCAGCATATTTAATGAACAGTGTCATAACTCCCATAAAACCATTAAATGACATTTTTACACTTACACACTGTTTTCTGTCTTTATGCTAAGCTAAGCTAACCATCTGCTGTAGCTTCATACTTAAAGGAAGACCTGAGAGTGGGAGCAATCTTCTCATCTAATTAGTGGCGAGAAAGCGTATTTCCCAATCAAACTATATTTTTAAGTTATTCTGGGTACAGCATCGAGAGAATGTGAACGATATAGGCCTAATGTGCTTTTCTTTGTGCATTACAGTAGATGGTGTTTAAAATACTTGATATGAACATCAAATCGTTTTGTTTTTCTTACCCAGACTACATTGAACACAAAATTCTGGTAACAGGAAGAATTTGATCTTGTGTAAGCTAAATGATTCAATACAAATATTTAAACGCTAAGTTCAGCCTGATGTTCAGCCTCACACAACCAGTTAATCCAATTCAACTATCTGACTACTTTTCATACAAGTTGACCAAAATATATGTGTTTTTCCATCATGGAAAAGGAAATTGATCAGCACAGTAGACGACTCATTTCACTCGCTCATCCACATATAAACAGACCCCCACACACTATGACCCACTATATATAAAAACATGTGCAAACTTGTTTCTAAACACAAAAAAAAAAAAGACAAAAAAATGTCCCCTATAAAAAACACAAGCCATGCTACAGACAAATGGTTCATTTAACCATATTTTCATTCCATTATAATGCCTCAGATCCTTGCAGGCACTTGCTGTATGAAAAAAAGGTAGGAAAATGACATTAATTAACTGAATTACATAGTTATTAGTGAGTCTTCCACACGGTGCAAAGTTAAGGCAGACATCTGTGACTCATACTAAGAGACATCAGGGAAACTGACGTGACTTTCGAAGCAGTGACCACCCGAGCAAGATGAGCACTCAACAGGATGATGGTGACTTTCCACTTTAGCATACAGTGCACTTGTTTGGTCTTATCATGGTCTGATGAGAAAAATCACCTGGAATGTTTATGAGATGTTGGTAAATTAACCAGAATATTATGGTTTTTTTTGTGTATAAATGTACATTTTGGAAGCAACATAAATCAGTCCCAGCAGAAGCCAAAGTGCATAATGATGGAGAGAAGGGGACAATTTTAAAAACAGAACCCGTTTCATGGCGTGTTACACTAAATAACAATCAACTAATAGATCCGCTATGATTTTGAAACCTATATTCTTATTTTAATGTTACAAACACCTTAAATTATGTAAAATAAACAATATGCTGTGACATTGCCTATGTGTGATGTGTATTTCAGAGATAAACGGTACAGTAGGTCTTTAAAATAAAAAAACATGTGACTTTGAATCCATCAAAGTGAAAGACTAACTGGCTTTGTATGTCTTTCCAGTAACTACTGCTTCATCTCACAAGTCCTTTCAAACTGAATCAAACGTGACCATCACAAAACGCCTTGATAAAAGAGTCAAGACTTGGATCTTCCTCTCATTCTCTTGGCTGTTTTTTGGCATCTTGAACCAGGCAGCAGTTTGGTATCTTTACAGACAGTCGTACATACGCAGGGTGCGCTCCAGTTGCTGGACAACACGCTGGTAAAAGGCTATCTGCTCCCTGAGGTAGGCCTGCATCATGTCTTTGAAGTCCACCTCTCGCCGCTGATGGAAGTAGCTCATCTCTGCCTGGAGGGCAAACCCAACCGTTCGGCAACGTTTCCTAATGCCGTCGGCCTCGTCCTGATCCATCTTCCCCTCGTCGCTCATCCGCTGGCTCTCCTTCACCTTGGCAAAGGCACCTGGGTTAAGATGAAGAGTTATATTATTTTAAAAACAGAAGGCTGGTCAGAAACCAAACAGAAAGCTACACGTTAAAGTTCAGTTCACCCAAATGACAAGAAACAAACACAGGTTCTCGTTTACCTCTAGTGGTACGTGGTAATGTGTAATCGTTCCATTTTATTTACCCAGTTTTTGAGATATCCATCTCTGAGGTTTCTGCCACCACCCAAAAACAACAAAAACATATTTTATCACTTACGCATAGTGGTCTAGCCTAGGCCATGCAGATACTTTTGGTTTTATTTCTTAGGTTTTGGGGGTTTCCTCTCGTAAGATTTCTGCCGCTATCCCAGTTGTTTGTTTCTTTGGGATGCTCACGGCATCTAAAAGTTGCAACATCTTGCTACAGAAACACAATGCGATGGTTGTTCTGAATAATCCATAGAACAAATAATTTCCCCCTGGGATCATTACAGTATTTCTGATTCTGATTCTGATTCTACCAAAATATAGTGCCTAAACAAACATTTGAAAAAGGATTATCCAAAGGAACAGTTCATTTGTATGTATGGTATGAGAAACACAAACAAATGTCCACTGGATACCCTCACTGTATTGGGCCATTGCAACCAACTATCTGAATGACGGGTTTTTGTATTTGGTTGGACTGATCTTTTAATGTCATTGTCAACTAAATAGTCACTATATTTTTAGACAATGTAAAAACTGGAAGAGTACGTCACTGAAAGGTTGTAAACCGTGTTTCTGATAAAAGGATAAAAATAATAAGTTGTAGTAAAAGTTAAATATAGTCTAAAAACAGTCCCAGATTTTAACTGCTCTTTGGGTGGGTCTATATACATTGTGATATATGAAATAACTGCTGCAGTAATGTTATGCCAACATCTCAGCAGTAAAGACCAACATCGTAACTTTTCCCCCAGAAATTAACTACTGCAAAGCTGTACACTTTATAGGTGAAGCAGGGAACACACCACACAATTACTTTCTGTTTCACTGCATACCAAACGTCTAGTTTCAGATAATGTGAACAAGTTGCAACCACATTCACCCAGACTCCCATGACATCATTTTCCAAGTGAAGAACATGGCAGCCTAATGGCATGTCGCCACACTGCATTTCCCGTCAGATTACTGAGTTCGTCTCAATCTCACACGAGCTGAGCCCGAAACCAGGAAGAAGACTGATCTTAGTCAGACATTATGCAAACAAGCTAGTTAGCAGGACTAGTCTGGACAAGCTACTTGCTCTGTCTTTAATGCATCTGCTGCAGTGTACAGGTTTTATCCATTAACTCTATCTATGAGTTAATGCAGCCCTCGATTTTGTATGGAATTCTTGGCAGAAGTCTGGGAAAGCATGAACAGCACTTCCAGTCTGTTCCAGCGAGGAGGCGTGTGGACTACAGTCTGTGGCGCTGACCTACATTCATGTATTCTGTTTTCCACATGAGAGGAGAATATGCATCACCAGATAGCATGCCTGTGCGACATAAAGGAAAGGCACTCGCGGTTGTGTGTATGTGTGTGAGGCTGGGAAGAACTGGGGGTTGAATCAACATTTTTGGATCAGCTAATGCAAAATCTCATCACAAAGAAAGCTTTGATGTGCTCTTCCTCATAGCTAAATCTGCACTCTGACGTGAATCTATATCTATAGCTATACCATTGCAGCCGCAAAATAAAAGCAAAAAAATGTGACAAATAAAAAGCAAAGCTGTGTAAGTTTCCTACTATTCTAAAAAAAACAATCCCTCTTTTCTACTTTAGGCTTTCTGTCTCTTTTTCCCCAGTTAACAAATGCTCTATGATACGAGGCCAGTGGTCTGGAAAGTCACCAGATTTGTTTATCTTGCCCAACCAGACTGGCTACCGCATGTTTTATGGCTGTGGCCAAAGACAGAATTTAACTCTTTCATATGTGACAGCTTCATGGGTCTGTGCTGGATAGATATAAGAGATTGAGAAGGGGTGAGAAGAGAGGACAGAAAAGAAAAGAACAAGAAAAAGACAACATTGTGCAAGGGAGGGAAAAACAGCCGTTCTGCTGAGTTATAGAGTTATATTTAAGACTTTTCTATGCCACACAGAATGCAATTTAATACCTGTTTGATGACCACACATGCAAAAGTATGGAAGTATGATGGAAAACCGTTGGGGGCAATATGGCCTTGGTGTCAGTAGTACTTTAAAGCAAAAATAAAAATTGTTCCTATATAACGAATGAAATCAACACAACCTGGATTGAACAGCCTCCTGCAGTACAATCCACAGTTAGAACAACCCAGCGTTTAGCTGTGGGTGACATGCCCTGACAAGGCTTTTTAAGACAAGACCTGCAGATACACTGTCTAGTTTAATAAGTCATACAGTATGTGTGAGACAAAGAGACAAGGAATGAGGACGGCTGAGATTAACCTCAACCCTCTTAGACGACTGAACTCAGGCCTCTGCTGAATTCCCCATTCCCACAACCCTCCTTGGGCCCGAGCTCACAGCGGGATGAATTCAGGAAGTTCAGCACTTCTCTACAGCCACATCAATCTTCTGCTCGTTTGACAAATACTTGAAATCTGAGAACGGAAGTCCGTCTTTAAGATGTCTTAAGATATTTGTTTACAGAATGAGGGGTGCCTGCGTGCTTGTATTTATATACGCTATTAGTGGTGACGGCATTTGCCAATTTCCTATGACTGAGTGTCTTTTTAGCAAAGCCAGCGTTATTTTTCTCCACAGACTGCAGATTCTTTTAAGATCCAAACATTAGCAGACAGCTGTTTTAAGACAAGTGTGTCTAATTTTAACTCATTCTCATCTGGGACCAGGCATCATTAAAATGAAGTGAAGCCTCTTCAGATGAGGCCCCTTTGTGTACTCAACCTAACATAACATAGGCTTATAGGTGGCGTATATAATAGTATCAACTGTTTGATATTTAATGGGTTTCTTTGGGAAGAAGGAAGGAAGAGTACCCAGTAAGCTGAAAAACAAAGTCCAAATATTTTTGAGTCTAGGTAATTAATGGGAAACACCGCTTGAACTGCTTTAATGCCCAAATACTGACAAGAGGTGTAGTATTCCATTACAAAATTGTGTAATCGGAATGACTCATCACTGCACTGTTAAATAAACCAATCTGTGAATTTGGTTTAAAGAATTCAAACACAGGAAGAGCTAACGTGACTGAGTAAGATTAGTGGATGTTGTTCACACCGAACAGACAAGTAAACAAATGGGGACAAATGAGGCTTGTCACCACAAAACACTGACCAATAGTAAAGGGCCCTGTGTGTGTGTGTGTGTGTGTGTGTGTGTGTGTGTGTGTGGAGAGAGAGGTTGACGTCTGTGTCAAGCACCACTGTGAACTGATGGGATATTTGTTCTCTGTTGCCCTCTCAAAAAATGTGCATGAAAGTAGCAGCAACAACAAAAAAGAGACTAGAAAGTGGCACACGAGATGTTACCCTATGTGAAACAGGCAGTGCTGGAGGCGAGCTGACGTAGGGAACGCACAGGGTTAGCTTTTGAGCTAGTGAGCTAACATTGTACCAAGTCCAAAAACATGCTGGCGCTAGTCAGTCACTTTAGCTATCTTGTCTTGTCAGGGCTGTATGAAATTGAATTCAGTAATAAGTTACAGAGGCAAAAAAGCTTAGCTAGGAGAGCTAGCTAATGTGACAGTTACTTTGCTAACTGTCAGTTACCTGGCATTGGCACTGTCAGTTGTTAGCTTGGTCTCTAATAGGATAATAAGTTGTCATTGATACAAATATGAGTGAGGAATGAGTCCTAACACCCGGAAATGTTTGCACTTCCTGTTCAATTGTATCAAAGTCAGTGGGTTTTTGGTTAAGTGCCTGAAATACGGTCCGTAATCTACGACATGCAATAGGCTACCTCAGTAAATAGCCCACTTGTGAATTTTGAAGCCTTTAGGCGACGTGTCTTAAAGCTCCAGTGTGTAACAAATAGGAGGATCTAATGCCAGAAATGGAATATAATATGCACAAGTGTGTTTTAACCTGAAAATAAGAATCATTCTGTTTTTGTTGCCTTTAATATAAATGATGCAACTGTTCTTTAATCTTATTGACTTTCTATTTCCTTTACATTTACGTTTAGCGTAGCAGAGAGCACTCAGGAAATAGAGGCATAAAAAGCACAATGCCCAGACCTCACTTGATTTGTATCCCCCATGCATGAGACCACTGGCAAGGTGTCCCTTATTCTTCCAGTGTTGGGCAGTAAATTATTACTAGTAATAATATTTAAGTAATATTACTTTTCCCAGTAACTAGCAGTGTAACTAATTACAAATACATTTCCCTCCTCAAAAATAATTAGTTACAATGTTACTTTTGTTGGCAATCCCCACTAATTTGAAATAGCCTACAATCACATCCTTGGATTCATTTTTGTAATCATGGAGGAAACTAGCTTACATTCAGCAGCCAGAAATATTCACATTACTTTCATTATAACAAGCAAAACTCATTGTAGGTAATGTATTTACACTTGTCTGATAAACCTGTTTGTCACAGAGCTTCTTTTCTGCAATAATCTCCTGAAATCCAGTGGGAAAATCCCATAGGCTTTTTGTTGATGGAACCAGGGTGAGGCTAACTTCCCTGCAACTCTATTAACAACGAGAAGTTATTATTCCATAGAGACCAAGCTAACCAGATTTCTGACTCACTGTCAATTAACTGGCATTAATTATCAGTTTAACTAGCTTGTTGGCTTGGTCTCTAATTGGAAAATAAGTACACACAGTTAACTTAAAAGACATATTTGTATAATTGACTGTCATAACTGTTTGTAACCTTTGGCACGGGTTAAATAAATTTCCTTAATGTTGGATTCAGCACTGTCAAAACAGCACAGATTTTACATGTCAACAGTGAACTTAAAATTAACAGATTTTGCTGATCAATGTAAATGCATTTTGATGGAGAAGAGGAAAGGAGAAAAGGAAAGGAAGGAAAAAGACAGGAAA